TTCTTCAATATTGTACCCCTCACACAATATTCCTCAAATTTTTACAATCAATTGGATTCGAACATTCAACAATTTTGGATTTTTTAATATCCAATGAAACTCGATTTTTAGAATTTTTTGTTACATATTGTAAATATTTAGATCAAAATCCTGAAGAGTTTCAAACGGAATGCTATAAGTTTGATAAAGAGATATCTAATATAAATTCAGCCGGTGAAACTGATTATGCAGGAGATACCTGCTCTGGCGAAATATTTCTATCAAGTGCTAGCAAATTAAAAGAAGACAGTATTGATGAGTTAAAATGTGAGAATGTTAGTGGATCGTATAAAGATGGTAACTTTGGGTCAAAGACGGACAACATGGACACCGATTTAGACACTATAGATCGAGTAAATGAATTATTTTGTAATCTTAGAGAGGTTATACAATCGTTAATGGATAAACATTTATTTCCGTATAATGCAAGCTCTCTAGTTAAGAGGATTAGAAAAGTAGAAGAGACGCTTAATAGTCTAAATTATTAAAGGTTTAATCATTAACAGTTTACATGACTAAATATCCAAACTCTTAAAGTTTGATTTATAGTTTCAGCTGATTCAATAATTTTTTTTTCAGTTTAATTATATATTTAAACCGCTATCGGCTATACAAAAAAAAGATTAAATCAGGTGATGTTCATGATCCGGATGTATTTATTTAAAGTTTAAACTCTTAAATGCCATCTGATTTAAATCAATAAAATCCTTTTTTTTTTTTTGTAATCTCTACGCTATACGATGTACATTTTTAAATAGTCGCGTAACAAAATAAAAAAAAGTAACAAAAAAAAGATAACTAGGAATGGGGCCTGTCCTAAACGACTAAATAAGAAACTGAAGTTTTGTCTGATTGCTTAGTGAATCATAAGTGGACAACTTGACAAATGTAACGGTAATATGAATTTAAGGAGAAAATTAATCACAGAACAACTAATTTTGATATTGGTGCAATGTTGGATAATTCTGATCTAGAATAGAATTATAATATATTATAGGGTTAGAACAAATTTTAATATTGATACTATATCAGATAGTAATCTATGATAGTGGTTGTGGGTTGGTATGGTATAGTTGCTATGAAAAGGATCCCGGTTTGGCCCTAGCATAGCAACCATAGAATTTTAATGTAAAATACTGATATTATAATAAAATTATAATGTAAAATGCTTAAAACTGAATATAGAATTTAACACTAATTTGGAGTTAGAAACTAGCTTAAATTTTGAAACAGATTTGGAATTTGGAATGAATATAGGATTTGAAACAGATTTGGAATTTGGAATGAGTTCTAAATTTAGACAAGTTTGGGATTTGGGATTTAAAATATGTTTGGGACTTAGATTAGAATTTGGGTCAAAATAGTTTTAGTTTGGGTTATAGTAATAATGTAACTACATTACCACAATCTTACAAATCTAATAATATCTAATAAATTATCAAATTTGATGCATCACAATATTTATAACAAAAGTATAGTTTATAAAATTATTTATTAATTTAAAAGTGGTTTCCTACAAATAATAATAATAATAATATTATTATTAATTAAAACCAAAGTCAAGGTTATAAACAATAAATATATATATTACAGATTAAATGAAATTGAATTACCAAAGATGAATCATATGGTCATAAAAAGAACAACTGGCTGCTAAATTTTGAGAATATGACCAGTCAACACCATATGCTAAAGATTTATGTTCCATGAAACTTGTTATATTGTGCATAGAATATGAATCTATAAAAATTGGTTATTTAATAATTTATTTAATAGCTAAAGAAATTGATAGAAATAAATATTTAATTACCATTATTATTTATATCAGATGTACAATTAACATTTATTACATGAAATCCATTGTGCATACATGCACTAAGTAAAAGATTATTCTTTTTTGGATGCCACTTTAATCTCCAAACACCTCCATTTACATGACAATCTGATATTGGCTGTCTCATTATTCTTGTATCCCAAAGTAGTATATGCTCATCATAACTTTTAAAAGAAAAATATAAGATAATTAATTGACAATAAACTAATACTTTATAAAAAATTTTTTACCTTCCTGTAACTAAATAGTGCTCAGAATGTGGATTAGATTGGATGCTACAAACACCTGCTTGATGATGCCTACAGTATATAATATGTTAATTTTATAAATAAATAAAAATTTAACTTGATAATAACTACAAGCCTTTTGTTTGTAAATAGTGAAGATGATAAATCCATTCGCAAATCCCATCCTTTAAAACAACAATCGTCACCACCTAATTTTTACAAAAGTCAATATGATAGATAATATAAAGTTAATAAATACAAAACAAAATTATTTGTAAAAAAAAATTCTTGCATAATGGTATGATCTAGCAGCTTATGATAACTAAACCAATGTAATGAATTGAGTTCTTTTGGTGATAATTGTGATATTATTAAATAACTTTGTTATTTAATAATATAATAATATTCAAGTTTTTCTATTGGTATAATTATAGTAAACTGCTAGATAATTATAAGTTTTAATTATAAATCACTGACCAGAGTATATTATATTTGTGTTATAATAATTAAATGCAGCTATCCATGCTTCAAAATCATGAGCCATCCATCGATTCTTTTCAAGAATTCCAAATTGCCCATCAACAGATAAAACTGCTATAGTTCCATCACTTTGAGATAATACAATCGACCTATTATTGCTATTTATTGCACAAACATATAAACAAAATTATTAGGAGCTTTTATAAGAATTAAATAAAATTTTAATATAAATCAATATACATTGCTACCTTAATTCTAAACGATTAGACCAATCAAGAGAAAGGCATAACTTGTTATCATCATTTATAGCATACAAAATAACAAGATCTAGTTGTGCCTCTAGTTGTGACTTTTTAAATTAATAAAAAAAAAATTTAATATAATACAAAAACATTGATTTTTAATAAGAGTAATAGATAAATAAAACATGCACTTTATCTTGATTTAACCTATATAAACCAACTTTTCCTGATGCATCTGCTAATGCAAGAATCATTTGATCATGAATATATTGATGTGACCTTGATTATAAAAAAAGAATATTAGTTTATAAAAACTCAATTTTGAATTAAATAATTATAGACAAACCATTTCATATCCAATATTGCAGAAGTCTCTATTCGTTGGGTTTCTTTCCTATTCAATTATTACATAACTTATTTAATATCTTTATAAATGAGAATAGTAAATATTTAAATGTTTAATATGTAAAACTACTTTACATCACAGCAAGAGATTCATTATTCATAATCTGATACAATAATAATCTTCCTAATCTCCTTTTAGGTTGAGATGATACTTTATTATTATTATTTTCATTGTCTTCATGGTCATACTCGGAGTGTTTAATTTTTGAATCAGCCAATTGATAGGTGCCACATGCTAAGAATTGAGAATAGTTCTCAAAAGGACAGAATTCTACCGAATCTGCACTGTATTCAGTGTCTAGCGAGTAAAGAGATGAAGCTTCTTTTATTTAAATACATATAAAAAATAATTAAGATTTTTTGCAATAGTTTGATTAAATAGAATAAAAATATAAATTTTAAACCATTGAGTTGCGCCATAATAATATGCCTATGAATAAGTAATGTTTTTTTTGTATCGTAAATTAGTCAAGATAATCTGCATCGATAAGGTTCAGGTTTATTATTAAAGAAATCAAAGTGTTGGTTCGATCTAACAGATCGAACCACTTATTTATTTACTTCTCACGTGTAATTACATCATTGATCTAACACAATAGTTTTTAGCTTCTAAAAATTACACTACGTTATCTTGCATATTACGCCGATCATTCTAATATCTTCCACCCTTTCTCTAATTTCCCCACCAGTTGTGATTGGACGCATGATATATCAGGGAAATAAATTTTTGAATTTTTATGTGCGAAAGTTTATGGAAATATTATATTTTTTGAATTCAACAAGAAATGTGCATAATTTTTTATTTATATTAGCCACCTGATTTTAAATTACGTATATATTACAGTAGTATTAGGCCACTCAAAGTTAATTTTTCGTTTTGCATTACCTGCCGTCCTATTTTTTCAAATTTTCAAATTTTTTTTTTTTTTTAGATTGCAATTATGCTAATTGTTTGATTTTTGATATCTATTTTTTTCTACTATTTTCATCTGGTATCACCTGATAGACTGACAGAAAAAATATGACTGCTGGCCCAATTTTTTGATTCCTTGTTATCAAATATAACCTTAAATGTGATTATTATTTTATTTGCAATAAATTGAATTAAAAAAAAAAAAAATACAAAAAAAAAAAATCTGTCCACCCATCCCTAATTTTGAAATCCATGTAATGCAAAACAAAAAATCAACTTTGCTTGGCCTTATATCAATTTTTATTGAATTTATTATACCGAAAAAATTACCGGCCAAAAAATTTTTTGGCTAATTTTTTTATAGGTGTCCCAGGTATAATGAAAACAGCTATAAATAGAATTTAAGATCTATAACCGAAGGTAGTAACGATAGTAGTAATCAGTTATAATGTAATAGTAAGAACATGTCAAAATTCTTGAACAACAGAAAATTTCCGACTATCAAAAAATTGTGCCAGAATTTCTTAATTTACTAGAATCTCCGGTATTTTATAGTAGATTTGTGCTCTGGTTAGTATTCATACTGTGGGCTTTAACGTTACAATCTTGATACTCACTTGATTGTCGATTATGCATAATCATGATTACTAACCAGATATCAATACTGGTATATACGTATGTACGTATGTATAATGCACGCTAACCCAGTTATGCAAAATACAGGAAATTCAAGGCATTGCACACTATTTCTGATATAGGCAGAGACATACAAATAGAGATGAAATCATGTGAATGGGTTGTCCAATCAGAATCAAAATAGCCACACCATTTAACTTGCCTATAAACTATACACTACGTACTTCATACTCCATTCCTGGTATAGTAGAAACTTTATTACAATTAGTAGTTTGTATAATTTAGATAGAGGATGAGCTCTAACTTGAATTGGCTAAATTAAAGAAAGTTAATTTAAAAAGAAATTTTCTATATATTTAAAAATTTCTAACTGCATTTGTGCTACAGAGCATCCAACATGACATTACATCCTCTATTTCCTATTTTAATGCTATTATTAGTTTAAATAAATAAAACAAATCTAGCTAAAATAGGTTAAAGAGAACTCTAAGATGTTTATCATGATATTATAAAAGATATATTTGCCATCTTTCAATAGTAGAGCATGTATCTGTCAAATGCATGCAAGGTGTTCTTGTATTTTTTTGTATAGTATTTAGCAGCAAGGATAATTTTTTTATTTTGTTTTGCTAGTAATATTTTAGACAAGTTCCTATTGATATTATTGTGTATTTTATTAAAACTATATTTCATAGTAGAACTATTTATAAAGGTTGTTAGAGAGGTTAATGGTAAGAGACTAGTTTATTTTTTAAAGATGATTTTAATATTGTGATATGTCAATTTAGGGTAGATACCAAGAATAATAAGAAGTAGGAAGTTATATTGTAAGTTTTGAGAGTTGAATATGAATTGTGAGAGAATATCAAGAAGTGTTGTAATAGAAATAGATATAATTTGAAGTTATTGCAGAGTGTTAGTAGTTATGCTAAGAAGTGATTATAAATATTTTTATTGTTTTTGGAGCAGAGAATTATGTAAAGAGTATCTTCAGTTTTAAGACATTTGCAGCAAATGTCTGTTATGTAGAAGTTTAGATATTGAATTCTAAAATTTTGCATAGTTGGTAAGTTGTTTATAAGTATGTTAATATAAAAGGAATATTTCTGAGAGCAGTATTCTAAAGAGTTGAGAATTTTAAAAGTGAAATTCTAGATGTATAGTTGTTGAAAAATTTAAAAGAGAACCAGAGATAAGTTCTTAAATTGGAATAATATTTTTGATAAATAAATAGATTTTAAATATTATAATATGATTATATCAAAAGAAGTGAATAGAAAAATTAAAGTATAAATAAGAAATTTCTATAATAGATTTATTAAAGCCTTGTTTAGCCAGAAAATTGGCTTGGTTATAAAAAGAGTTGGTTGAATATAACTTGACTTTAATAGAAGTAATAGAAATATTTTTTGTAGTTTTAAAAGAATTAATAGTAAAAATTATGTTTTAGTTCTTATGATGAATAATTAGTTTAGATAAGGTTTAGTAAATTTTTAATTGCAAAAAGTTATCTATACAAATAGTAAGTTAAAGTAGTGTTTGTAGTCGATTTTGCATTAGTCGATAAAATCGGCTTAGCCGGCTTAGTCAGCCGATTTTCAAAAAATCGGCTTAGTCGACTTAGTCGACTACAATAGAAAATTTAGGCCAGTTTATATTAGATTCCGAAATTTTCCGAAAAGAAAATCAATGTTTATAAAATACGAGCAAGGTCGGGACAAAAATTTGAAGAAATCTCCAATAACTTCCGAAGTTTAATTAAATAGAATTTCGAATAATCGACTCTGACTTAGCCGGCTAAGCCGATTTTTAAATATCGACTTAGTCAAGTCGATAAATAATGGTCGACTACAAACACTAAGTTAAAGTTAATTGGTAATATAAGAAGAAGATAAATTTGCTGTATAAAAATTAATAAATAAATTATTTTCACAGATTCAACTTATGCTAGATTGTATATTTGGTGTTTGGAGATTTTTAATTAAAGTATCAGTATAAAGACAGATTAGTTGTGTTGAGATTTAGAATATTGTTGTAAAGTTAAATAAGTTGATTTTGGTAACTGGATGTATTGATTGTGTGTTGTATAAGATGCATCTTATGAGATAGTATAGTAATTTGAGGTTGGGGTGAAAGAGATGTTAAAATTGTGTTAAGGTTGTTAAATATTTTAATTAGGGCAAAAATTTCTCTATAATCTATTTATAAGAAAGATTTGTTGAATTTAATTTGTTTATTTTTTATTTTTTTTATTTTTTTTTGGTATTAAGATAACCTTTATAGTCAAGAGAACTTTTTATTAAATAAAAATAATATTACAATTACAATAAGAATACATCAAGCTAAATATGTATTTTTGGTGTCTAATTGAATAGGCTGTCTAAAAGTTCTATACTATCTGCTATACCTGCACCCCAATTACAGAGGATACCTATTTAAACTCTCTGCTTATAACTGTGGTTATCTATAACCTAACCAAGGTGTAACTTATCTATTTATTTTAGAATTTTGTGATACCTATAGATTTCACACTTATCTTAGGACTTACTAGCCCCAATTGAGCTAGTCTATCTATGAAGTAAACCTAACAGAGTAGTTCATGTCCTATATATGTTTTTACCTGCATGTTTAGTAATTTTTTCTAACTTGTACCTGTTGCTGCTATAACCCAATCTATATCTCAAGCTGCAATCTTCCTAATTAGTCACCTATTATATACTCCTTACTCTTGTAAGGTTCTCAACAACTCAATACACATATTTGAATTGTCTTCTTACTCAAATTCTTTATTGGTCTTTCTCTTACTTCTAGCTAGCAATCTGGAAAGGTCAGTTTGCAGGTGTCTCATAGGCACCTTCTTCTTGGTCTATACTTTCAAAGTATATACTCTTTTCCTCTAATACAACAACCTGTTGGTTTAGCTAGTATGTTCTCTACTATTTAGAACCTGGTCACTTAGTTCTCAAATCTCAAACCCAGTTAGAATTTAGCTCTCATGTAGTACTGTCAAAGATCATTGCTACATCCTAACTCAAAACTTGCTAAACAGGTTTTTGGTTATTCTAGTTTCTCAAATTTATTGTACCAAAGCTCCTATTACTAGATAGTGTAACTGAGATTTCAGATTTATTCTAGATCTAACCTATAATTAACAACTATAATTAACAACTATTAACCATAATGCAGACTTATTTTTCAAAATTGTCATCCATAAGATTCAAATTCTAGACCTGCTGCTTGGAGAGGGTGACAACTAAACTATTTAATTTGGTTATATAGTAAATTAATTAGTATAGAAGTTAATGATGACTAATTAATTTCATTTAATTCTGTTAATTCTGGAGATGTTTAATTAGTTTCATTAATAGTTGTTAAAGTGATTTGATAGTAAGTAGTATATTGAGAATTATAACATTAGTAGATAATTATATTTGAATTTTGAAATAGTAGATGAAAAAAGTTTTGGTTAGATATGGATATAAGATTAGTTGCATTGATAAAGCAGTTTGTTAAAAATAGACAAAAATGTAGCCAAGCAGTTTGAATAAAATTTAATTGTGTAATAAATAGAAGTTATATAAACTATTAGGGCTGATAGCCTCTAGTCACTTTGTTGATACAAAGATAAATATTATTTCAAGAAAGTAGAAAATTGTTATCTGCTATTGTAATCTGTTTAATAAATAAGATTTAGTTGTTTTTAAGACTATTAATTGTGAGATTATAAGAAGATATTAGGAGTATATTATAAAATTAGAGGTGTATTCTCAAGAATAGATAGAAGATAAGTTGTAATTTGGTGAATAGAAAAGATTGTTATAAGATGAAAGAAGGACTATAAAGAGCTATGTTATAACTTATATATTATCAA